AAAAAAAAAAAAAAAAAAAGAGAAAAATTAACCAAGTATGGTGGCACATAACTGTAGTTTTATCTACTTGGGAGGCTAAGGCAGGAGGACTGTTTAAGCCCAGGAGATTGAGGTTACAGTGAGCTACCATGACAATACTGCACTCTAGCTTGTGACAGATGGGTGACAGATGGAAACTCTGTTTCCAAAACAAACAAAAAGACAGGCTCATGGCTCATAGCTCAGTTAGTAGGGCGCCAGCCACATACACTAAAGCTGGCAGGTTTGAGCCCAGCCAGGGCCAGCTAAACAACAATCATGACAACCTCAACAAAAAACAGCCAGGTGTTGTGGTGGGTGCCTATAGTCCCAGCTACTCAGGAACCTGAGAGAAGAGAATCACTTGCACCCAGAAGCTGAAAGTTGCTGTGAGCTGTGACGTCACAGCATTCTACCAAAAGTGACAAAGTGAGAATCTGTCTCAAAAAAAAAAAAAAACCCTGCCCTGCTAAAACTGAATAATAATAATAATAAAAGACCATTAAGAGTGAGGAATTTGGGGGGAGGGCATATTCTTCATTCTCCATAATCTATTTTTTTTTTTTTTTTTGAGAAAAGGCCTCAAGCTGTCATCCTAGTAGAGTGCTATAGCATCAGAGCTCACAGCAACCTCCAACTCCTGGGCTCAAGCGATTCTTCTGCCTCCGCCTCCCAAGTAGCTGGGACTACAGGCGCCCGCCACAACACCTGGGTATTTTTTGGTTGCAGCCGTCATTGTCGTTTGGCGGGTTCAGGCTGGAGTCTAACCCACCAGCTCAGGTGTATGTTGCTGGCGCCTTAGCCGCTTGAGCCACAAGGGCCGAGCCCCGGCCTTTTTCATTAATTTTCTCTACCTCTACCTCTTTTGGCTGTGGTGTGCTCAAATTAGGAATAAAAAATGAAAGTGAAGTACTACACTGAATTTACCAGACTTACTGGGAAAGTGAAAAATGAGTTAGCGATGAGCCCAAGAAGGTGCTTAGCCACTTACCCAGAGATTTATTTAATGAGAATGGATCGCAGGTTTCCACAGGTCTTTCCACTGCCAGTAAGAAGACAGTCGTGTAACTTGGGTCCCTTTTTTTCACTAGTCAACAGTCACCCTCACCTACACGCGGAGTACATATTTGGCACTCAACAAATCTTGACTGAATGAAAACCAAACTCACTCATTGATAGTCAACCCCGGAGTTAGGGACCCACAAAATTTACCTCCAAAAAGCGTTACCAGCTAACTGAAAGAACTGAGAAAGTAGAGAGAAAAGTTCTGGGGATCTCTGTAAAGATCGGAAACAATCAAGGGCCAATGGGGCCTACACCAACCCAACTTCCCAAAGAAAACTTAAGGGCTCAGTAGACCCAACCGCGGCTAGTCGGCTTGGGCCTCCATAAGGAGGCACCTGACAGGCCGCAGATCCATAGCCTCCCAGCCGGGGGCGCTGACAGATCTGGGGGTGTTCCCCCAAAGTTAGTACCTGCGAAGCTGGGGCCCAGAGAGCGGATCGGGACTTTCATTACGGAGGCCGGGGCCTGGGGCCGGCCAGCCGCGCCTTCTGCCTGAGGGTTCCGCGCTCCGGGGTTGCAGTGACAGCACAGATCGCAGATAGATACCTCACACTTCAGCAGGCTCCTGGCTCGCAGGCCTCGGCGTCTCGCCCCCAAGATAGCGCGAGTTGTCGCACTCACGTCGACTGGCACTCTACAGGGATTCCCTCACTAGCCAAGTTATCACTCCTGCCTGAAGCCCAGCAGCCGGTAGCTTCCCGGCGCCGCCATCATCAGTGTTTGTTTTCATCTGCTTCAGCGAAGGCGGGGGGATAGGGGTGGGAGGGGAGGAGGAATAAAGCTACAGGGGAAATTCAGATGCTTAGAATCATCCGCACTTTCGCAACATCACGGGCGTCTTGTTTAGTCTGTTAAATCTTCAAAAATCTACATGAAAGTTGATTTCCTTTCCATCTAGCCCTTATTCTATTTTTCTAGGCGCCTCAGGGAATAAGAAAAACAGAAAGAGGGGTCTTTAAAAGAGCGAGACCAGGTGGGTCGCCTGTGGAATGTGCGTCGGCGAAACGCAGGTCGCAGTGGCAGCGGCAGCGGGGACGCGACGTGGGGCGGGCACTGACGCGAAGGAGGCGGTGCCGCTGTTGCGAACCGTGGCGGCTGGAGCGCGGTGGCCGGTTCCGGAGGAGGGCCGGACTGGGCTTGGTGGGTGGGGAGTGCGGCTGGGAACCTGGCGGCAGCGGAGAGGTGGGTGATCGGACTTGGCTGACTTTGAGTGGCACAATCAGCTCCCGCACCTGTGTCTCCCAGCTTCTTTCGCTCTTTGGTTGGCAAACCTGTTCGGTTTTCCCTGCTTCCTTAGCCCTCACCCTCACAATTTGGATTTCTTGGGATGAGGTGAAAGCCTGTTGGTATAGCACAGAATGTACGTCCGCCAGGCTGGTACGTGTACTTTTTATACCCTCCTCCCTTGTTAGAATGGTTTGAGCACCCCCACATCTATACCGAACTTATCAGGTAGAGCCAGAGAGCTATGGATAATGAAACCTTTGAGTAATCTTTATCCAGGTAGTTCTGACTTTTCTCAGCTGCTTCTTGGCTTATATAGTTAGGAGCAGACCTCTTTTACCTTGTGAGTAATTATGCCATTACCTCCATTAATCTTCTGCTGTTCTTAGTTGAAATGCCAGGTATTAAATGAGCCACCGAGTTTAAATTCCCTTTATCTTTCAAAGCAGAGCAAGTCTAATGTGTAGCTATGAGTTAGTGGAGAAAAAGCTAGTTACAAGTGCATCTTTTGCCTTAATAAAAATGGAAATTTGCAGAAAAGGGGCTGTCGTAGCTTTTGAGTCACTTTAAAGTTTTTGGTAGGTTTCTAACATTTTTTCTTCTAACCTTTACAGAGAGAAGATTATAAATGCCAGACCCACTTAAGTGATGGTTAACTGTTGAATTCCGATGCTTTCTTAAATACCTTCTTATACCAACATCTCCATCAGAAGAAGGTCAGCAAAAGTAGCAGAGAGAAGGAGAGACAACGTTCACATTTACCATGGCTATACCAATAACAGTGCTTGACTGTGACCTCTTGCTGTATGGCCGAGGTCACCGAACATTGGACCGCTTTAAGCTAGATGATGTGACTGATGAATACTTGATGTCTATGTATGGGTTTCCTCGACAGTTTATTTATTACTTGGTGGATCTCTTGGGGGCAAGTCTATCTAGACCTACTCAGCGATCCAGGGCTATTAGCCCAGAGACACAGATCCTTGCAGCATTGGGCTTTTATACCTCAGGTTCCTTTCAGACTCGAATGGGAGATGCTATTGGAATCAGTCAAGCCTCTATGAGTCGTTGCGTTGCCAATGTCACCGAAGCACTTGTGGAAAGGGCCTCACAGTTCATTCGCTTTCCAGCTGATGAAGCCTCCATGCAGGCTCTGAAGGATGAATTCTATGGGTTGGCAGGGATGCCAGGAGTTATAGGGGTGGTTGACTGTATCCATGTGGCGATCAAGGCGCCAAATGCTGAAGATCTCTCCTATGTGAATCGCAAAGGTCTGCATTCTTTAAACTGCCTTATGGTGTGTGACATCAGAGGGGCACTAATGACTGTGGAGACAAACTGGCCAGGTAGCCTACAGGACTATGCTGTACTGCAACAGTCTTCTCTCAGTAGTCAGTTTGAAGCTGGAATGTACAAAGATAGCTGGTTTCTTGGTAAGTTTGTAGGTGTAAATTTTCATTTTGTAGCCACAGAAAAGTTATATATGTAGCAAAGTAGAATGAAGCAGGCATTTGTAGACCTGCGTCTCAGTCTTGTACCTTCTTGTGAAGCCTCAGGTAAGAACTCTGAACCTTCATTTTTTAAAGTCAACATTCAAAAGACATTTATTAAGATTTGAAAACAGGCCAGGTATAGTGGCTCATGCCTATACTCCTAGCATTCTGGGAGGCCAAGGTGGGTGGATCACTGGAGTCACCAGTTCAAGACCACTCTGAGCAGGAATGAGACCCTGTCTCTACTAAAAATAGAAAAACTAGTTGGGTGTTGTGGTGGGCACCTGTAGTCCAAGCTAATCCAGACACTGAGGCAAGAGGGTTGCTCAAGCCCAAGAGTTTGAAGTTGCTATGAGCTGTGACTCCAGGGTACTCTACCCAGGGCAAAGAGTGAGAATCTGTCTCAAAACAAGCAAAACAACAACAACAACAAAAGCCACTATTAAATCTGTGGAATAGTTCTAGATTTGTCAAACCTAAAACTAGCCGTGATATCCCTTTGGCTTTTAACATTTTGACCTAGGGTGTCATCCTTTCCTGTCTTCATTTTCATCTGTCCCTTCAGAGTGTATTACCCATGCTGTATCATTCAGCTGACCTCAAGTGATACTCCTACCTTGGCCTCCCAAAGTACTAGGATTATAGGTATAAACCACTATGCCTGGACAGATTTGGTTTTCTTTAGCTATCAGCTTTTTTCTTTGTTGGCTTTTTGTTGTTGTTGAGACAGAGTCTCACTATGTTGCCCTCAGTAGAGTGCCATGGCGTCACAGCTCACAGCCACCTCAAACACTTGGGTTTAAGTGACTTTTGTGACTCAGCCTCCAAGTACCTGGGACCACAGGCACCTGCCACAATGCCCCGCTATTTTTTTTGTTGTTGCAGTTGTTATTGTTATTCAGCTGGCCTGGGCCGGGTCTGAACCCACCACCCTCTGTATGTGGCTGGCACCATAACCACTGTGCTACCCGGTGCCAAGCCTCTTTGTTGTTTTTTGTTTGTTTGTTTTGTTTTTTTGCAGTTTTTGGCCAGGGTTAGGTTTGAACCTGCCACCTCCAGTATATGGGGCCGGCACCCTACTCCTTTGAGCCACAGGTGTCGCCCCACCTCTTTATTGGTTTTTTAACCAAAGATATTCTCAGCCAAGACACATGTCTTCCT